GGCTTGAAAGGAGTTTGGTGGGGGTGATATGGCCCCTTAGTAGAGTGTTTCAACCGCGAATTCAAAACACCGTAAATTCAAAAACCTCCCTTTCCCCAATCACAAAAAGCCACCGGTGAATGTTTTAGGATTTGAATTAAGTCTTAACACTAATCATTCTGGATTCCATCCGCAAAAATACAGTGAGTACACACACGTTTATACCACACAAATAACAGGAGTTACAACTTAACAACAAAAAAGTACAAATTTTGGAGGTCAGAGGTCATAGTTCAATGTTTGTCAATACGTTCTACTTATTGTATCTGCCACCAGTGCTGTAAAGGTTGGTTTGTTGGCTTTTTAAGCCTTGTGTGTAGTGTTGTAATGAGACCGGTCTGCATACAATTATGCCTGTCCTTGGTGCTGAAAACCGTCTATTTGCATGTTAAATCAGTCTCAACAACAACCATTGAAGGGACGGAGGAGGAAAAACGGTTCGTCTACGTAGAGGTTGCTTCAGACAAATGTATAAACCTATAAATTTTATAATTATTCATGTTTAGTAAGTATAAGTATAAAAACATTGTTTTTTGGCCGGGAAAGAAGCGTATGTTTACCCAACTTAGTGCACAGGAAACATATCCACAGTTGTAAAAGATTAGATGTACTATTGGGGAGGGGGGGGCGAGAGATAGGCAGACTTGGGGAGGACCATATGCATGGGCACTACAGCTCTGTAAAGGGTCATGCAGAACTGAGTGAGTAAGTGAGTGAGTGAGTGAGTGATTGATTGAGTGAGTGAGTGAGTGAGTGAGTGAGTGAGTGAGTGAGTGAGTGAGTGAGTGAATTGAGGGTATGTCAAATGCACATGCAAATGTTCATATTTTGTTGAGGAGAAACCTTTTTTATATTTCAGTCCATACCATGGTATGGATGAAATATATTGTGTTCTCTGATGTTTCTTCTTCTCCTTCTCCTCCTGCCAAACAGGCAAAGGGATTCAACTCAGCCATCATTCAGCCAAATGACTTGAAATTTGGCATGGAGGTAGAGTGGGCCAATACCCCCAGGCGTTTTTTTTCATTTTTTTGATACATGCCTTTGAAAAATTTTTAAGAAGGTTTTTTAGGGCATTTTTCGACAAAAAATGGATTTTTGGATCCTGAGCCCCTGTTTTACAACCAAATGCTCTGAAATTCGGTATAAGGGTACCTTGAACATGTGTCTACAGAATAGCAGTCACATATTTGGCATACACCACTTCCAAATGACTCATTTGGGGGACTTTAATGGCTATTTCAGGCCAAAAAAGGGCCAAAAGTGCTAAACCCGTTCCATGTTCTATCTAAAGAATGGCCTGTTCCATCTGCCACTGGCCATGGAACACGTGTTCCATTGGGGGTTACCTGGGGTCACATTGCACGTAAGTCGTGCGTAATGACCCACACATTCAATTTTATGTGGCTAAGACCTTCAAAATGTATCAAATCTCGTCATTGTTAGTATTTGCATGCCTGTAATAAGATTAGTAAAGCATTCAAGATCCAAAGTGCTTGTTGTAGCATCTTTGTTATCAATTACATAGCTACTATTTAATTAATTTATTTGAGAACCTTTGCCAGTTGTGCACTGGGGTAAGTTTGGAATAGTCCACTTTTGCGTGGGAGGGAGATGGACTGAAATATGCTGTATTTGCTCCCAAGCAAATGTCGGCCTTTCTAGTTTCCATTAGCGTTATCCTACTAAACATGCAGTTACATGCTATTCATTATTTGAAACCATGGTAAGCAGTCTACCATGTTGACTTTTTGCTTCCTTGGTAGCATAGAAGCCTATCAAAGGATGCCTCTTTTTCTTCACCCATTTTTTTCTTGTAAAAGTCTGTTATGACAAAGGTTTATATTGTAAATTTCGACCACAAAATTTTAAACATTTTGAATCTAAGAATCTCCATTCATACATAACATATGATGTTAAAATAACCAAAATCAATGACTTTGTTGAACATTTCTATTGTTCAATTCACAATACCCAGCTTTGATTTAATTTGGGATTATTTCAACATAAAATGAAAGCGGTCCAGACTTCCTATGTACAGATTTCAATACAAAAGTCACATTCGTCGAAATAATTATGCATGTAAAAATTAGTCTGGGAACAGAGTGTTTGAAATGCATTGGCGGCAGGATAAAAGTACACCATCTTTGATTGAATTCTAGCTACCGACCATACCAGCGATTCCACCGACACCGACTGTACAGCAAAAAGCGCCCCCAAGCGTCCGAGGATCCGACTGCAGTTTCGCAGGACCATCGCCGCAATCGGGCTGTGCGCTTTGGTCGGCGCTCTTACGGTCGCTGTATTCTCCCAGTTTCACCAGGGTGATGACAACACTGAGTCAATACTTGCGTCCATAACCAACCAAGTAAGCATACTGCCATTTACATGTATACCATATACGTTACAGGAAAAGTTTTTTTTTTGTTGGGCGTTGAGCTACATTTTCAGTTACTTTGCAGTTTTTGTTTATTCAAATTACTTACAGTACTAGTGTTTGTTCCTTTTTCTCTTTCCATGTTGAACAAAACACGCTCCTCAGAACCCCTAATACGGGTTGTATTTTTTTTAAGGTGTTGTCGACTTATTCCTTTATTCTCTAGACTAGATTATAATTACTATGGAATATAAGGCCACACCAATTTAATTTCTTGGTTAACGGATTTTTCTATAAAAATAACGGAGCGGGCGGGCGAAAAAAAAATAAAAATAAAAACAGGCCTAGGCATCCTATTATGGCCCCAAATGGTACGACAGGAGCCATGAAGTCAACACACCAGGCTGGTTAAAAATTTAAACAATGAATTTTGAACTTTTAATGATACCATTGCATTGAAAGATGGAATGCCTGTTACAAGTAGTAAGAAAATGACTGTTTTCAACTGTTCAGGGCAAAATATGAGCATTTTGCAGTTGATTCTGAATTTTTATTTTTATTTGCAAATCAGAAAAAAATGAAGCGGCGAATCCGTTAACCAAGAAATTAAATTGGTGTGGCCTAATACATAATTTGTCTAGTTCCGTAAGTGATACTTCATTGAACCACTCTTGTTTCAAATCTACAGCTGGAGGCAAATGGCAAGGCACTACAGGACATTCTGCTCAACATCAAGACCTCCAAGCTGTTGGGAGACCAGCCTGAACAGTACATGGTAAGAATAACCATGAATTTAATCCTAGACTTATCCCCTGGCATTTTTTCAACTTCCTGTAAGCATTATCATTTATTGACATAATAGCGACTTTCGTAAGGTTTATAATTTAACATATGGACAGACACATGGGTACAAAATAATTAGCCTACATAAGTACTACCGGTATGAATAAATCAACATGTTGAGAATAACATGTCAGTTATTCTATGTGGTCTGTTCATCTATTTCAATATATATATACTTGCACATTGTGTCCTGAAATGTAGCTGCCTAAGTTATATAAAACACCCCTTTCTATGCAAGTGTTATGCCTTACAGAAATCAGAGAGAAAATACTAAAAAAAAAAAAATTACGGCTCTCAGTGGCCAGTAGATGTTGTCACATCGGCGCACCAAATCCGTAAGGTGTTTTTGGCACCCTGACAGACAGATTAGCCTAAGAGGCTCGGTGGGCGTCACTCCACCGTATAGGTGGGGAAGTCGTGTAAAGTGCCTTTCCCAAGGGCACAACGTCAGGCCACGGTGAGTATCGAACCAGGGACCTCTCGGTTCCGAGTCCAACGTTCTAACTGTTGCGCCACCGACGCCACACAGAGAAAAGAGAAAATACAGTGTCATCTATTACTGTAAGAATAAACAAAAAAATTGATAAAACTCACTATTTCATGGGGGTATAAAATTGATCTTCGATTTCTTGTTTGCCCTGTGCAGCCTGTTCAGAATGCCTATCCGACCAATGACACCAGTGCCTGGTATATCCAAGCCACTGTTGACCATGACCAGCCACCGACTACGACTGCAAGCATCCCAGACGGCTACAAGACTACCCAAGCCCCAGTCCCCAATACAGCAGGTTTGGTCTGTCATTTATTTAGAGATTTACCACAATTTTGGAAGGATTGACATGGGTTATTTGGCATCATATCTTAATTTATCTATTCAGCTTGCTAGGTTATTTGGCACCAAACTCAGTGTATTTATTAACATTAACCACATTTGTGGAAGGACTGACATAACAGGTGGCTATATATACTCACCTTTTCAAGAGACCATACACAGACTGTAAAGTTTAAACCACTTACACTGGAATGAACCCATAGTCTTTTCAAAGTAAAAGTCTCTTCTCTGACATGTTGGACCTATTACCATGATGTCATAACTGCATAACTAATTAAGTCAAGTCTTTTGGGTATGCTTTCTCTTATACTATTAGTGTTTGTCACTTACAGCTAATTTCATTTTTTCTGTTTATCATGGTTGGTTTCTTTGCCGACAGTTGCAATAAAGCTTTTTTGTTCACGTTAGGCTTATTTTCTTTCTCTCTTGATTCTACTTACAGCTCCTTTGCCGTTAGTTGCTGGGTACTCGGCCCGTGAGGGAACCTGTCCTGGAAACACCGTGCTGTCCCTGTATGCAGACACCATCACCCTGCAGGCCTGCGCACAACGCTGCACCCGTTACCCGGACTGCGTTGCCTTCTCCTACTCATCTGACAACCACCGATGTTACCCGAAGACCAAGACCTGCGACAAACCGCTAAAGGGCAGCAGCTGGAACGTGTTCTATGACAAAAAGATCTGTAAGCATCTCTCTCATCCTCCCTATCTATCCATTGATGCATATTAGACAAAGGTAACGAGGAACACACTAAACATCTGAAGATTCTTTGAAAAAATTTGAAGATTTTTCTTAAAATCTGAAAACGATCTTCAGATTTTCCAGAAGATTTATTCATTATTGATTTTCAATGAGGTGTGACACCTCCCACGCTGGAGGTCATTATGATCCATTGTGTGGCAAGCAAGTTTGTCACAAAATATCAACTTTGTAAGTATAAGCTGTGAGTGGCAACAAACATTTGTTCAAAGTGCAATATTTTGTCCAAAATTAATTTGTAGGGTGTTATATGTGAAGAAAACTGTTAATCAAGCAACTGGATATATTTTGACAACTGTCATTTACAGTTGAAAAGTGCTGGATGCTACATGGGACATCTCACAGTTTTTTTAAAGTTTACAGTCATTGAAAAAAGTGTGGATGCTATATAGTTACTTGAATCATCTGATAGTTATCTTTCCATCCAATTGCTTGAATTAAGCATGTAACAGTTTCATTCGACCGTTGCAGGGCGGTCTTCAATCCCTAGAAGGCATATAGCATGTGGAGAATCGGTTTTAGGTATAAAATTAAATTATAGCAAATTTCTCGGAATTGGCTAGACTTTATATTGGAAACTGGAAAAAAATACAAAATGTGAATTCAGTATTTTTTTTTAGTTGCAGCTGGTTCATCATGGTAAACAGCCACACTGTAGAAAATCGGTTTTAGATTTGGGGGAATTTGCATATCTGTCCTTTTAACTTTGAAAGAGGATAAAATCATGGAATCAGCATTTTTCTTTTACTTGAATGTTGGTCTCAGCAGATGGCCCACCTCAAGTTGACGGCTACACTGCCCACCGCGGGATCTGCAGCGGGAACAACATCCTGTCCCTGATTGGTACGGTTAGTCTCCAGGACTGCGCCCAGCGGTGTGACGGCCATCCGTACTGTGTCGCCTTCGTGTTCCACCACACCAAGGCCGGGATGTGCTTTCCGAAGTCCAGTCCCTGCACCGGCAGCTCATATCCAGAGAACTTTTTCTATGTGAAAAAGACTGGAGGTAAGATTGATTTTTTTAAAATCTATGTCAGCTGACTCACTCAGCATTAGCAGCAGGACTGCCTTAGTAGACAGAACGCTGTCAACGTTTTGCGCTGAGGAAAGAATTAACTTCACGTTTGAATCTTTGTCTGTCCCTGATCTTAGCGATCTCCCTCGGAAGACTGTTCCAAAGCCTAACAGTTGTTGGTACAAAGGTTCTCATATGATTGTTGGTGTGGGAGACAGGGACCACCAGAGTGTTTTCGTGATGGGATTTTGACTGGCGTGACACCCGCCGCACCTCTTTGTGTTTAGGAACATAGGTCATTTAGCAGGGCTGGTGCCTCTCTGTGGTTCAATATACGGACAGTTATAATATAATTATATAATTTAGCACTTCAATCATTTGCCACCCTGACCTCTTCCCTCATGACCTCAATAAAAAAACAGAGAACCTGTATGAGAATTTCATAACACTTCTTGGACTTCTTAAACTAATTCCTTTCATTGCGACAAATTTACAAGTCAGTTTTATTTTCTGTTGTTGCTTGCAAATATTACATATTTCAGTGTCAGAGGAACTGAAAAGAAAATGTGTGAGAGGGAAAAATGTCACTAAAAACCAGGAGACCAACAAAATGTACACTAGTAGATGTAAAGTTGTTTTTTGTAACAAACTTAAGGTAATGCTGGTTATCTTCCTTATTTTCAGTGTGCAAGATGAGAAGCACCAACATTAACTACCACTACAGGTGGGACCAGCCTCCAGTGACCACCTCCACATTCAGGTGGGTATAAACTCATTTTAAAGGTATCCAATGCAATTTTAGGGTGAAAAAATATTCTGGATGAGGAAATTTGACGTTGACATTTACAGCCATTACTTATATTAGCATATTTTTGTCATCATTTCATATTTGAAGCTTTTGACATAGCCAGAAAATAAAGTATGCGAGGATTCGCTTATTTTTTTTGTAAGTTTTTCTTTCTTTGAAACTATTTCTTTCTTCTTGTAGGTTTGAGGTGAAAGCCAACGGTAACATCCACATTGCTCTGTCTGACACTGGTTTTAACCAGAATACATGTATGTACGAGGTTGTCATTGGAGGATGGCAGAACCAGCGGTCTGTCATTCGGAGACGGATGCAAGGAGGGATGAAAGTATCAGCCACTACCCCTGGTATGTAACCTCCATCAACAATTTCTGCCAGCTTATTATTTCTAGCCAGTGCTTTAAAGGCATCCAGTGCAGTTTTTAGGGCTTGGAAACCCGATTTTCCTAAGCCAAATTATTCTCAAGGTCATTTATCTACAAGTTGAAACCACACTATCCCATTGGCAATGTACACAAAAAGTCATAATTTGACCCTCATGGAGCAAAAATTCCCAAAATTCTGACAGAAAATGCAATACTGGAAGGGCCCTCGGCTGATTTTTTAGGGTACCGCCAAGAAAATAATTTACTCATCTTGTAGCTTGTTTATGCAGTTTTAAATACCCAAAGCATGAAATTCTTATTTAAAATTTGTGCTAATGTGGCCTTATGTGCCAATAATACCGAGATTGCCTTATTCAGAATTATATTTCCAGTTTTAATGCCCTGAAATCACATTGGATGCCTTAAAATATTGAGTTTGTCTCTTCTTCCCAAAGGCATAGCATCTGCAGACGAGTTCCGGATGTTTGAGATCCACTGGGCTCCAGACGGGACCATCAGCGTCAGTAAGGTCCCGGATGCTCCCTTCATGACCTGGCGTGACCCCAACCCCATCCCTATCCACCAGGTGGGCTACTCTACAGGCTGGAGGTCCACTGGAGTCTGGAGGTTCTGCGCAATCGGTCAGTAAATGAGGGCCTGCAAGGGGGGGGTCCGGTGAACGCTCTACGCTGAATTCGGAAACCTGTCGATTACGCTTTACGATAAATTCCAAGTGGCTACAACACATTACGTAGAATTAAAATGGCGAATACGCTCTACGCAAAAATAGTAGAGTGGTCCATCTTCGCTCTACGTAGAATTAAAATGGCCGATTACGCTCTACGGAAAAGGGCTTGCGGGCCCACGCAAATGTCAACACCAGAAACTTTTGCCTGAATTTAATATATTTTCTGTGGGATTATTCTGCGTAAAAATTCCCAATTTTGCTCCTTAATTTTGGCATGAAAATATATCATGTTTTTTTTTTCAATGTCACCAGAATTAAGACTGAAAATGAAAACCAAAAATAAATTGTGTTGGACCTTATTATTGCCGTTTGTGTGACACTGTGTGTTTGTCACGGTATGTGTGTGTATGATTGTGCAATTTTTTTGCGTCATGCAATTGTGTCTGTGTGTACATGTGTGTATTCGTGTACTTTTGTGTGTGCATTAATAATCGATGCATGTGTGTATGTGTCACTGTGTATGTATTTGTACATGTATGTGTGTACATATGTGTGAGTGCTTGCGACCAACGTAATTAACGAAGCTGTGCCTCATACTTCACGTTTAAAAAAAACTAATAAAAATCATTTTCTTGCAAGCAGATTCGGCAGAACAAAAACCCAAGGGCTTGTGGCATTTCAACAAGGAATTTGAAGCAAAGGACATGACTGGAAACGGAAATGACGGCAGTGCAATCAGAGTCTACAAGGCCCCCGGCCCAAACAATCAACCAATGGGGTCTTACCGCTTCATGGGGATGCAAACATCTCGTGTCCAGATCCCGTACAAGAGTGCCGGATCCCTGGATATCCGCTATTCCCTCACCATCCTGGCTCAGGTTGTTTTCACTTTCAATAAAAACTGGAAGACATACGAGTTGTGTAGGTTACTGCACTCCTCTGGAACAACGAAATTCAATACTAGTTAATGCTGATACTGTTGGTATTTGGTAGGTAGGTAGTATTTTGTAATAGAATGTATGTATTGATGATACAACAAAAAGATCTGCACTATATTTCTGATGAACTTAGAGAAACCATTGATTATGAAACATTCATTCACTCATTCACTCACTCACTCACTCACTCATTCATTCATTCATTCATTCTGTAGGTTCGCACCAGTGTTGCAGGGCTGTTGCTGTATGACTTCATGTCCAACAGCTGGGGGCTGTTTGACTATTGGAACAGCAAGGACACTCCACAAATACTAGTAGAACCAGCAACAACTGACCCGTCAACGAAGGGGAATAGGCAGTCATTCGAAAACAGGTACCATATGTTCTCAATTGAAATTCAGGTTTCTGATAAGCGTAATATCTAGCCTACGATTTGTATATAAGGTACTAAGAGATTGTGTTTTATTTTCTTTTTTTTATATCTGCATTACAATTATTGCAAACACGAAATTGGAGGTTTTCTCTGCTGGCCCCTGAAAGCCACCCAAAGCAATACTTCCACACATGGAAGTAATTATTCTGTCTTCCCAATCCCAGTTGTAAACCAGCAGAGCATTATGCATGTGTGTGAAGTGAACAAGCGTGTAAGTGTTTGCGAATACCCGTAATTTATTTTGGTTTCAGAAAGAGAGAGTGGCATCGCAGGTTTGGGCGTGTGAGTGACAAGATCCGGGATATCGATGGACGCGGCCCGTACCTCTTCCCAAACAAGTGGACATACGTCGGAATCACCTACAATTATGCCAGTGGAGAGCTGGCATTATGGAGGGACAGCATCAAGGTAGGCATTGCGCAAAAGTCTTGTCTTTTTTTCTTCTAAAAGTAAAACAGACATTATTCCACAACATTTACGCATCTTGATAGACTACTATAATTATTACTTGTAATCCATACAGGATCAGGACCCCAAATTTTGTATATATGTAGGTATGTATACTGGGTGGGCAAAAGTTTAAAGTACAAAAAATTCTAATCTGAGGCAAATATCACAGTTACATAAATTCACATTGTGTGGATGGCGTTCAGCACCAAGGACAGGCATCGTTTGCATAGAAAAATGTGGTGCCGAGGCTGATTAAATCAGTAGATTCCGGCTACTGTACCAAATTGAATACTTATTGCTGCTGACACTGCCTGTGTGTTATTTTGACATAGTGCACCTTTTATAAACGTTACAATTAAAGTTAGAACGGTTTGCACAAATACTTCCATCAGTAGCACACCAGCACTTGTTTGACAGGATTGTTTGTTTTTAAATAACTGTATATTGTAACTGTGTTATAGATTTAGATGTTGTTTTGTGACTCTGTCAACTATTGTATACCAACGTATGTACACAATGTACAATGTATGTATGTAAGAATGAATGCCAGGAAGACTATTTAAATAAAGTTTCAAAGTCTTTACTAATTACCCGTGCCCTGTAAAATGGCAAGGTGGCACGCCGGATGATTGGAACCAGACAGCATCGCGCCCGATTCCCGCTCGTGGTGGGGTACAACGGAAACCCCGCCCGCCCCTTCTCCGGACAAATCTCCTGTCTACAGCTGTACGACAGCGCCTTGACTCAGGAACAGATCGCCGCAGCTCGGAACAAGTGCAAAGGTTAGTTTTAAAAATTGACTTGATTTTATTTCAGGATCAACAATTAAAGCTTGATGGTACGTTTATTATGTTTTTTCCTGTGGTCCTTTAAGTTATTCCTACATTTACATTCAAATACGTATTAGAGACACTCAGGATTACCACAAAATAACAGTGTCATACAGAGTACATAAAAAATAAATCAGCATTCAGAAATAAAAGAAGGTTACACTCACATTTTTACAGAAATGATACCTTGATTATTGAAATATTTAACACAGAGAGGATTGGAAGGATCACTGAGGTCACTGAATGACACAGAATAAAAAAGTTAGTTGGTCTTGGGCCAAGAATGAATTGATTTTGGGCTCCTGCTTGTGGCTCCATTTACAACTGCAGCTGCTTTTTTAATTAGAATATTTGGTTCTGTAGAAATGAATCCAAATGTGGCTCAGTGTGTACATGTATATAACTGTTTTTACTCAACACTTTTTATCATATGTTAAGGCCACACCAATTTAATTTGTTGGTTCTCGGATTCGCCTCAGTCTTCATTTTTTTCTGATTTGCAAAAAAAAAAAAAAAATTTGATTCTGGTCCTGAATCAACTGAAAAATGCTCATATTTTGCCCCCCAACAGTTGAGGAAAGTCCTTAGTTCCTAGTTGTTACAGTTTTCCCATCTATCATTGCAGTGGTTTGATTAAAAGTTCAAAATTCAATGTTTAAATTTTAACCCAGCCTTTTGTGTTGACTTCATGGGTCATTTTGTAGCATTTAAGCCTATAATAGGATGCCTAGACCTGTTTTTATTTTTATTTTTTTTCGCCCTGTCGCTTCATATTTTTTCTGAAAAAATCCGAGAACCAACAAATTAAATTGGCGTGGCCTAATGAATAGAACGATAATATGTACAAAGGATTATCAATCCATCACCTTCTTATATAATTTATCATTGCTCCTCCTTTGTCCCCCAGTGTATGAAGAGTCCTGTGGTCCAGACTGGCATAGCCATGGCTCCAGATGCTTCCGAGTGTTCCCTGCTGCAGTGCCATACTCAGGAGCTAAAGCTATGTGCGCTCGCCACAACTCAGGAGTAGCTCTACTGAAAGACCTGGCAACGAACGACTTCATTGTCCAACTGCGAAACAAGGTATGTTACCAAGAAGGTTACATTTTTGCCTTTATGTTGGTGTTACTGTGTTTGCAGTTTAGCAGCATAACTCAAGACACAATTAATTTTTTTGTAACATATGTAACTTAAATTGAATATTTTTTAGTCTTTGGGGCCCCTGGCAGCCTTCCCTGGTATTGCAGCTGCAGAGTTTTCTTTTCGGTATCTCATGTTCTGTATCATGCTACGGTCACTGTGTCTGGCTTATAGATAGCCCTTTTGCTTAAAAAATAGTGAGAAAAGCTTAGGCTGTCTAATAGTTTTTTGTAGTGTGTATTTTGAACTAAACAATGTTTTGTAATGATAATGTTGATAATGATGATGAAGTTTGTATAATTTCAGACAGCTTCACTGATTTCAGACTTATTTTCGTCAATTGTTGTTGATATTGATGATGTCATTGATGTTGTAGATTTATGATGATGATGTTAACAATGATGATTTTTATGATGATAGTGTTTATGATGATGATGATGATGAAGTTAATAATGAAAATGATGAAAAAGATAATGATATCTATGTTGATGATGGAGTTTATGATGATGTTGATGATGATAAAGATGTTGATGTTATAGATGAATGATGATGTTGATAAATTAATGATGATGTTAATGATTATGATGATATGATCCCAAAAGGTTGACCACAAGCTGACCACCTGGATCGGGCTGAAGGATGATGAAGAAGAGGGAAAACATGTCTGGGAGGACGGGGACATCCTGGGTACATTCCAGCCCTGGGGATTCGGGGAGCCCAACAATGCACCCGGGGATGCCGACTGTGTCCGCCTCACACCCTCCTCAAACAAGTGGAAGGACTACCCTTGTGACCGGGGCAGCTTCGGCGTGGTCTGTGAAAAAGGTAGAATCATCTTCTCTTACGTGCACAGTGGTGTCAAATGGCTGAGTGGTTGGGATGGCAGACACGAGATCGAGAGGTCAGGGGTTCAATTCCTGTCCTTCCTGGCAAACCGCGAGGCGTTTTGTCCTTTAGAAAAGTTATACTCGACTCTTCGACTCCACTCAGGTGTAAATGGGACTTTACAGGTGACAAATTAGTTGGAGAGGTAAAAGGTGGTAGAAGGAGAGGGATACCTTGCCCTAGACACAGTCGACTAACAGCAACAATAAGGATAATGGACTGCCTTTTTTGGTTACGTTGGTTGTTTGGGTGACTGGGCTGTGGGTTGTGTGGGTTTGTGTATCTGTTTGTCCAAACAGAATTGGTTGAAAGTGTGGATGGGGGAAGATTTACAGTCAAAATGAAAGGACGGGCCAAATGTCTGAAACCAGCATTAAAAGCTACTAGCCTTTTTTCACTGAATATGATGATTGTGAACTTTGGCACGATTCAGTTTTTACTGTGAGGCCAATGGACATTTGTTCTGTGCTTTATCAATAAACCAATTACTTATTACTACTACTCCCAGTACTCCATACACATTTTTACACTTCTATACCAGATTTGACGGTCTGCAACTCGGCAGTTTATTTCTACATTAATACTGAACAACCACCAACGATAGTATCCCAGAAAGTGAATTCAGCACCAAGGTCAGGGAGGTCAATTCAAGGGTGTAGGGGGCCGTTATAGCACTGTGGCCGTGCACCAACATGTTTCACACAAAAAATGTGATCATTTGTACTAAAACATGCAAAATTTCCTGGAATTCACTTTTCCCACATTATTCCCACTACCAGGTCAGGTGAACTCATGCCCAAGTGGATGGACCAAGCTCGCTCCCCACTGCTTAAGGTACGTGGACAGACCCGCCACATTTGAAGACGCTGGCAAGGTCTGCCACAACATGGGAGGAACACTGCACACCATGTCTGATACCAGGGGGATGCTACTCGTGCGGAGTCTCGCAAGAAATGGTTCGTTTGCTTGATTGGTTGAATGATTGATTGCAGGATAAAGATCTGAATCAGATACAATTTTAATTCGTAAAGTAGGGGTGACCCGGTGTGCTTGACTAAATATGTGAGCCATAGTTGCTATGATTATACTTCACCTTTAGTTGGGGATGACAAAGAAGTGAAAAATTCTAAGTCATGGTACAATGTACCTATAGCTATTGCATGGAACTGTGAATACAGTATAAAAGATTTATTTCAAGTAAAATAAGAATACTTATTCCACTCTAAACACATAGATTATCACATTGTCTGTGAGATTCCCACTGGAGGTATTCCAAACCATTGTGTCACACAGAATCTTATACAAAACTAAGTCTGATTGATAATCTACTCACCGTTCATTATACTTGTTTTTGGTGTCATCAGGTACCGCTCGCTGGATCTGGTCAGGCAAAGAAGAAGGAACGGACAAGGAGAAATGCATGTCTTTCCTCATACCAGTGAGTTACAAGTATTTCTGATTGTCATGTAGGTTGAACAGCAATTACCCTGTCTAAAAGAGGGGTCATGTGGGAGTGCCTGGCTCCCGGGTTCGATTCCTGCCATCAGCCACCAATCCTATGCCCTTATAACAACAACATGAACATTCATTTGATAAATGAGTGGGCCGTCTTCCAACTTGTCGTTCAAATGCCAGAATGTCAACCCACTTCTGGCTAGCACATTTGTTACACTTCTATACAAGATTTGATGGTCCGCAACTCGGCAGTTTATTTTTACATAAACCCTGTACAACCACAGACAATAGTATCCTAGAATTCAGCACCAAGGTCAGGGAAGTCAAATCATATTGGACGTATATTGAGGGGGCAGTCATAGCACTGTGACCGCACACCAACATGTTTTGCACAAAAATGCCAACCTTTGAACTAAAACATGCCAAATTTGCATCCACACTTTTAGTGCGTTTTAGTAAACCAGTCATATCTGTGAACAGTAAACCAGTCATATGAGTGTACACTACTAAACCATATTGGTGCACAGTAAACCAGCCATATGAATGCACAGTAAACCAGCCATATTAGTGCACAGTAAACCAGTCATATGAGTACACAGTAAACCAGTCATATTGGTGCACATATATGCAGTAAACCAGTTATATTTGTGCACAGTAAACCAGTCATGAATGCACAGTAAACCAGTCATGAATGCACAGTAAACCAGTCATATTAGTGCATACTAAACCAGTCAACCATTCAACTATCTGATGAAATTATTTACTGACTTTAAAAAAAAAATGTTTACCACAGCGAGTTCCAGGCGGGCGTACCGTGCGTACCAAACGCCAGCTGCCGTACATGTCCATGCATCGCACCTGCACAAGGAAGAATGGCTTCTTCTGCAAAAAGGTGTAGAAAAACAGAGGATATGCCAAATAAATCTGGAGGGTGATACTAAATGTAGAAATTTTTGCCGTGCATTTCTTTCAAATTCATGACACGTATGGCTATACTGCTTCACAACAAAAATGCTTCAATCCTGAATTCAAAACGTACTACTGGTTTTTCAACTCTCTTCCTACATTTATTTAGTGCTTATTTCATCGTACATTGTAATTGGATAGCCCATTGAGCTAGTAGAGTCTGCTTTCTAATGGAACCCAGCAATTATTACATTTACACAGGACAAGACACGATCATTACATTTAGTCAAGCAAAAAAGGTGACAACTGTCAAATAATAGAATCTAAACATAATCACTGGAACTATATGGAATGTACAATTTTCCTCTGTGGACTTAAAAGGCAAATTCTATTTCTAAGCCATTACATTAAATGTATTAGCAAAGTATTGGATCAACTTGTTTATTGCAAAGAAGAAAAAAAATTATTAAGTATAACTGTGACTGTGATGTAACATAGCTGAGGCCTGATCAAGCTGGACTTGTATCGGTCTTTAAAGACTGTATTATTGTTGTGTTATTTCTGTGCAATAAAACTAATAATTTTGAGTCTTGCGTCCAAACCTAATCTTTTAAGCATAGATTCTAAACAATACATACATATTTGTAGTGTAATTAATTCATGGACAGGTTACAACTATAACCACGAAAATAAAACTATCACGAACGTTTTAGTAAGTCTAGAAAAGAATTGTTTTGACCGCGAATTCGAAACAATATACAAAACTTCAATCATACTTACTGCCTACCACATTAATGGCCACATGTGAGATACATTGAAAAAAAACAATTATTCAGGCAACCGGATAAATTTTTACTTTCCATTTGCATTTAATTCAAGTGTTCATATTATATTAATAGCAGATTGAGCTCTTTGTTGTAAATCTTTAACAGTTCTAGCTCTACTCTGTAACATCTGTGTCCATAATATCACCAGGGTCCATAATATCGCCACCTTGAGAAACAGTGTGCTTAAAGACATTTTTACTGCAACATACTTTTGGTATGCACGCCTGCACACCTCAAATCTATATACCTAGGGTATGTTGCAGTAAAAATATCTTTAAGCACACTTTTTCTCAAGGTGGCGATATTATGGAACCTGGTGATATTATGGAAACGGATGTTGCTACATGCTAAAGAAAGCCACTTCTTGCCTGGAAGGAAGTGGATATTAACAAGGTTTGACTCAGGCTTGATTAGTCTGTTCTCCTTCCCGTCCTCTACTTGTTGATTCCACATGAAAAAAGGTCTCTTCAAGGTAATAAAAACAACCGAAGGACATACGATGCGGTGCCCAGACTAATTTTCTGATGCCTATGAATTTTCTCATGAAGTAGGCAAAAACTGACTTACCTTCCTTAATGTCTTGCTGTATCACACTATTGTATTAATATAGCTAACCTAAAGTTGGATATGAATTATATTCCAAATTTTCATTGGCAATAATGGTGTGAGGGGCTTGAGAGCTTTTTGTTTTTGTCTCACTAGTACGGAATTGAGTACATGACACAAAGCAACAACCTTGTCATTTTCTAGGGCATCACGTGGCCAATACTATAGGATATAGGTTGGGAAAGCTCATTAGGTGTTTGTAGGTAGGAGTAACTTTGGGATGGTCCATTACTGTTAGGGGTTGGTATGGAACAGACATTCTGGCTTGGGGATATAGATTGAGTTAAATATGTGCAGTATTTCTAGTATTCCTGGGAAAGAAGTTTTTCTGTGGGGGGTATTGTTTTGATCTTAAGTTTCTGTTTTTGCAGCTGCTAAAACTCGCAGAGTGTTTGACAAATTTGTTTGATTTTTGGTATGTGGATGATACCTATTGGGGTACAGATTAGAATAGCTCATTGGGGTCCAGATCATGCATTTTTTTATCATGTCTGTATTTTCAGGTATTAAGATTAAATATTATAAAAAAGTTACACTTGTGCTGTACAAGTGCATGTGATGTGGTATAGTCTCTCATCAACAGATTTTGTCAACTGTGGGAATTAAGCCAATGGGCTTATTCCATACTACTTAAGGTTTAAAGCCTGTATTGTGTATTTTATTGTGGTATTACACATCTTTTAACTTATATATGCATTACGTTTACAGTAACTGTTAACGTTGCTGTCTACATGTAGGTGTAATTGTCAGCAGTCATTGCAAGCATTATGCATTATACTTTCCAGAAGTTTGGAATCACACTTAAAGTTTATGTTGGTTCTTCTCATCTCACACACTGAAAAAAAGGAAGATTACCAGCGAGTGTTACCTTTCTTACAAAAAACCTGGCTTCTTGTTTTCTGTTTTTACCTCATTGAATTCAGTACATGGCACCAAAAATGGCCTTGTCCTTTTTCTAGAGTTAAAATAATTGAAAAAAAATCTAGGGCAGACAAATAACCTGTCTTAGGAAACACATGTGCAGTAGCCTTCTTTCTCAGCAAAGAACTGTTTTACAAATAATATTTATTCTTGGAAACTGATCCATTTTGAACGTGTATGTGCGTGTGAATGTCTACATGAGCGTTACACAAGAAAAAAGTTACTCAAGCAACTGGATAGATTTTGAAGACTGTCAGATGTTTCACCTAAAATCCACTACTTTTGTCAGTGGCTAACAGAATCTGTAGTTGAGCAGGTATTTTAATGAATTGATATGTAAGAGGAGGAAAAACTCTAGGATAAAAAAGACAATATTTAGATCTTGTTGATTGAGTACAGGAGCTAAGAATATCAGGGTGTCTAACATTCATTGATGAATATAACGTCACTCTCTAAAACTACACTTTCAAATGCATAGATCACAAAATTTACTGGTATGCTTTGTTCACCTTAAAGCGTCAGAATGTAAATAATCCTATTTATCAAATTTAACAGAAAGCTATTGTTTTGTATACGACAGTTGAAAGGCCTTGGGTGGATATGAGTGTTGCAGTAACAAAACAAGTCATCTGCTTACATGCATATTTATCATTTCTAAAAAGCCTTCACCCACTCCTTTACATATTATTAACCTGACAGTGTGTAGACTATTCAAGCCTTACAGAGAACATGTATATTTATGATTTCTAAAGAAGCCTTCACCTATACTCCTTTACATAACCTGTGTAGACTATTTAAGCCTAACAGAGAACCACTGGTTGCAGTAAGCGAGCGGGTGCTGCCACTTTTGCGGGCCTTTTTTCTGCCGAAGTCGGGATGGCGGGCCGTTCTGAGCCTTCCTTGCCGCCCAGTGAACCCTCTCCCCTTCAGAACCAACATTATGAACAGGCATGCGATGTTCGCGCAACATTAGAGCTTGGGAACGGTAAGTCTATACATTTTACTTTCTTCATTTTCATTAATCTTGGATACATTCAATTGGGTTTTCCCTTTAGTTGAAGAGGATTGATCCCAGTGGAGAAGTGCCCTTTAGACAATCTAACCCTTGTCCTGCTGGCAATTTTTGCACAATATTTTCAAATAATTTGAAGTCTTAATCAGGTCACAGACCCTTGACTTTTTTGCCCTGTGGTGGCGTAGTTACTTCTGCATTTGTTGCGTTTCGCTGCCGTGTGATGTGTTACACAAGAAGTACCCCCAAATTATACATATACAGGACACTATATAGATGGTGGTACTGTATGTGCAACCATATATATAATTATATGGGTCCCGCAGGACAAGGGTTTTGATATACCTGTTCTTGGTGCTGAACACCATCCACACAAAACTGCACCTGTCCTTGGTGCTGACACCTGTCCCTGGTGCTGAACACCATCCACACACAAACATGCCTGTCCCTGGTGCTGAACACCATCCACACACAAACATGCCTGTCCCTGGTGCTGAACACCATCCACACACAAACATGCCTGTTCCTGATGCTGAACACCATCCACACACAAACATGCCTTTCCTTGGTGCTAAACACCATCCACACACAAACATGCCTGTTCCTGATGCTGAACACACCATCCACACACAAACATGCCTGTCCTTGGTGCTGATTTCATTCTCCACCCAAAAAAGCCTGTCCTTGGTGCTGAACACCATCCACACACAAATGCACCTGTCCTTGGTGCTGAACACCATCCACTCATACACACACCTGTCCTTGGTGCTGAACACTATCCATGCACAACCATACCTGTCCTTGGTGCTGCTTTCATTCTCCTCACAAAAAGAAACCTGTCCTTGGTTCCTGATCCATATTTATGGCTAAAAAACACACATCTACACAAAGTTGAACATAGGTGGATGAAAACATGTCTGCTTTGGTCACAATTTCAGATGAAAACCACACCAGTGATTCCACCGATGCAGAGGAAACTGTGTACAACGGCAGCGGCGGGCACAAGGGCACCAAGCCCCGCCGAGCTGTCTGGGTCCTTCTGGCGCTCAGCCTGTGCACTCTCGTCGGTGTTACGATGGTCGTGTTGGCCCTATGTTACCGAGATGCTGACAACACCGATCCAACACTGGTAGTCATCAAAAACCAAGTGAGTTGTCAATCCAATTACTACACCATAATAGCACATTTTTTATTAGTAGGGAAGATTGGAGTACGAAATTGTCAAAAAAATGTCTTCCAAAATACCTAACTAACCGCATTAGCCTGTTGCCCCGATGGTTACCACCCTTTACTATTTATGATTGGTGCTAGCAGGTTTCATTGTTTAGATGTTGAAATGAAAAATCTACTACACAGGTAATTGCTAACAGCATATACTAGTAGCATCCTGTATTAATTTTGTACACTTGTAACTTCTGGCAACATGAAATATTTTTGGTTTACAGATACTAAGTAGTCTGTCAGCCTATTTGATCAAGTCATTGTGTTGCTTTTAATATGTATTAATAGGTAATTGTTGTATGTATAGTGTAGTTAAGATACATGTATAACTCTAGTGCATTAAATAAATTTGATCCATTTATTACTTATATAAATATAACATTACAGCTGAAGGCAAATGGTAGGGCTTTGCAAGACATCTTCTTCACACTGATGACTTCAAAGATGTGGAGTCCTGCACACGACCAGCAGAAGGTTAGACCTAGTCACCTCCATTGAAAATGGAGGTATTGTTTTTGGCGTGTCTGTCTGTGTGTCTGTGTGTGTGTCTGTGTGTGTGTTTGTGTTTCCGCACATTTGTAGTCAGCATAACTTCATAACGCCTTTATGGATTATGATGATACTCTTGTTTTAATATGTCACTGAGATAGCAATCATTTTGGACAGTGACGTACATGTAAAGCCAGCATCTCTGTGTATGAGACAAAACTCAAAAGACTTATCAAAAAGCGTAGAGTTCCCCTTTTTGCATAGCTGTAGGGTGGCTAGGGCCTAAGGGGAAAACAATATGCTTTATTGCAGTTGAG